GTCTTATAACTTCTTTTTCTAGCATACTCTTAATCTGTTTCCTTACTTCTTCTTTCTGTGCAAATGGTATTGGATAAGGTCGCTGTTTTATAGGGTGAGCATCTCCCGTGTCAATTTGATGGTTGACTAAACTTGTTTCTCCTAAATCATTATCATCCTTTGCGAAAACATCAAGATATTCGCTAAATAATCTTCTGACTTCCTCTTTCTGTTCTTCGGACATTTTTCCTACATCTATATTTAAATCCTTCAAAATGTCACTTCTCTCCTTTTCTTTCTCTGGTATTTCATTGACTGCATCACTGTCATGAATTTCACACACTTCACAGAAACTTCCAATATTCACTTTTTCATGTAGAATCACAGGTTGACTTGATGAATTTACAACTGTAACTGCCATCAATTCACACGCTCTGCTTAATACTCTAGCTGGCATAACACTATACTTCTCCATAAAATCGCTCTTAGGCTCCACAATTCCAATTTTTCCATAAAATTCTGGACTGACTCTTGCATTACACACTACTTGGGATCTTTCAGGTATTTCAATTGTTTCAGCCAAATGAACAGAACATCTAACATTACGGTTTTCCCTCAAAAACTTGACATAACTTCCATTCCAATATACTGAGCCATCCTCCATGTCAAGAACTGCACCAACACTTTTCAAAATATCTGTTCCAATAATCACACCATAACAAAGGTTTCTTGCAACATACACATTATGTTTGAATAATTCACAGTTAACTTCAATTTCACACTCAACAATGCCTATCACATCAATAGCTTGACCAGTTGCTGATACTATACGTCTGTCTGTCGAAGTCAATTTATTTCTCATTTCTGGGCCAATAAATCTGTCACTGATCAAAGAAACAACGGCTCCTGTATCCAACATTAGAACAGCATCAATTCCAAAAATTTTCCCTTTTATTTGTATTCCCTGTTAATCACCTTTAACTAAAGAAGGTACTTTCACAAAATTTTCACATTTTCTTTTTTCACATTTTGTTTCATCACTGTTTTTACATAAAATCCTTTTGTCAGAGGCATTTTCTTTTTCACTGATGACCGCCTTACCCTCTCCTAAGGAGGTCTGCTTTAGTTTAAACCTGTACGCTGAGGAATCCTTACAAATTTTCTTGGGGTGCTTGTTGCAAATCGACATTCTCTGGCAAGGTGATTATTTCGTCCACAATTATAACAACGTCTTGTCTGACGATTTCTTGACTCATAACTTCCTTGAGGTGGAACATGGCGAGTAGGTGCCACACGTTTCATTGATGTAAGATTAAGACCATCTAGCTTTCCTGCAATTGTATCCAACTTCCCTGTCATCTTCTCAAAAGAATCCATAATAACTTTCATTTCGTTTGCAACTACGTTGACTTTAGCAGGTTCTGGTTGGCTACTCATTATCAGTTGCTCGTTACATTCTTCTCTTTTTGCAATTCTGAAAGCCTGTTCAAAACTTTGAGGATCTGCCATCATGACATAACGACGTAGCTCAGGACGTAAACCTTGCAAGAAATGCTCCATGACAAGCCTGTCATGTTCATCTAAAGAAACTCCTCCATGTGCACGTCTAGCCAACTTCAAAATAGCACTTCCATAATCTTCAACATTTTCTCGAGCTAGCTGTTTTCTTTGAAATAATTCTGTGTAATACATTCTCTGCAACTCTTTTGGACAAAATCTCTCCTTCATGCGATCAAGTAACTTGTCAAAATCTTCTTGGACATCTTGATCTAAATCTTCGTAAAAATCAGCTGCACGACCTCTCAAATATGCAGGTAGCATTTCAATTTTCCTCTCAGGTCTCCATTTGTTAGCACGACTTATCCTTTCAAATGTTTTGATCCAACTCTCGAAATCATCTCCAACATCTCCATAGAATTTGGATGGCGTAACATGAGATTTTGATTCTATTCTATCATCGGTAGCTTCTCGCTGACTGGTGAACATCCTAGGTGACGAAATCGGAGATACACTTCTTTGCCTTCCTTTTCTTCCCATTTTTAACAGAATTCAAAAATTAATCCAATGAATGTTCACAAATTAATCCAATGAATATTAAATTCTTCCAAACACACACACAATAATCCAATTTTGAAAAAGACACAGGTTCTAATATATTTCCAGTTCATGTGAATGCTGGAATCCCACTTCTGACACCAAAAATATGTCACGGAGGTGACCGAGCATTTATACTTTTTAATTCCACTTCGTATATATCCAATTGTAATTAAGATATCCTTGGTTAATAAATCCTTGTAATGCTATTTCCAATAAAAAGTCAGTAAACCGTGCACTAATTTATTTACATATATACAATGAGGAGGCACAATACAAACAAAAGATGTTACATTTATGCTAGCTAGTACTGCCTAAATCCTAATAAAGGAGTCCCCCCTTCTAAAAATGTCACACTTATTATATACTAATCTTAGCTCCAATAGATGATTATCTAAAACATTAGCTCCATCCTATTAATTAACTTACTCCAACTCTACATATATCTTTATCAAATCCTTATCAAACTGTCATAACCTAGCTTGACCTTAACTCAATACACGGCTCCCGATTCTACGAACAATAGCTCCCATTGCTCCACTCATTAAAGACTCATTATTCTTGACCACACTAGACACTGCTCTACTTTTAATTACCCCAACACAGCTTGACTAGTCTGGGCAATGCATCCAAATGCCTGTAACTCTGGACATTTAATCATAAATCACTTCATTACTTTTGAGCCTAAAATTACTACTCATCAACAAGGTCTAATACAACCAGTATAGAAATCTATCAATGATGCTATGATTAATGCCTACACCACAGGGGATGGATAAACAAATATTTTAAGGAATAGAAAAAATTATGGAAATTTTAGAATCAAGGTTGACATGGTTTTCTTGCACTCTAAACCATTTAAGTTAATTATAATTTTTTGATGGGCGTATCATGCTGTGGCGTGGCACTTTATTTTATCATAAAAATAAGATCTGTCATTTATTACTTTTCTAAAAACCACTGGGCCAATTTCAACTAAACTTGTCACAATTAAAGCATCCTTGGGTCACTTAGGGGATTTGAAATTTTAGTGGCATCGTTTAAAACTATTATCAATATTAATAATCTTCTAAAGAACCACTGTGTCAAAACAGTTGAAACTAAGGTGAAAACTTGTTTACTTTGTATATTTTTCAAATTTGTTTGAATATGACAAATCATGGGGTAGGGAGAGCCTGCCAGGAGAGTCCAAGTTTAACATAGGGATATAGGTAGGGAAAAAAATCATAAAAGTCCAATCTAATTAAAATTAGACTTGTACATGTATTTTTGCTCCTCTATTAGGGCTATACGCTTCAATTAATAATCTTTTGTGACGACAAAATAGTCGGGAACACAATAGTTGGGAACACGTTTATTTCAATCCCCCCTTTCCATTTCTTCCCTAAGCCTGTTTCCCTGGCCTTCCCATAATGCTGCGCAGCTTTATGGGAATACCAGGGAAACAGGCTATTTCTTCCCTCAACAGCGGACCCATGCGGTAGAAATCCTGGGCAAAACATGGAGGAATCTGGATGGCAGTATTTGCGAGGAGGTGTGGAGTATATACACAGGTATTTGAGGAAACGTGTATATAACACTGTATAACACAAACACAATAACAATATTGAAAAGTTGAAAAAATTATACATTCTTTCTTCAAAAGAATTTTGTATAATTCGATCATTGCTTTGTATCGAACATAGACGTCGGAACCCGGGGGAGAGGGGGGGGGGATATATATGCAGACATACTATAGTAGTTCCTCCCCCCACATTTTGCAAAAGTGGACATTATAATTATAGACTTTGAATATGAGGGCATAGGATTAACCTTTCCCCCACTTTCAACAGGCACGTTGCACGGTTGCAGTTTGGGTCAAAGAAGGGTATGTGGTAATATTTGGATAAAAAAATATACTGAAATTAAGAAACCACCATCCCCCTACGAAATAAGATTCTTGTGTTTGGACAATAGACCAATGGACACATTTTCCTTTTTTGTCTTTTTGCTTTTCAATTTTACTTTTCAATTTTTTTCTCCTTCACTCCCCTCCCCTTTCAATTCGATCGCTTCCGACGCCGATGTTGAACACATCTTATACATCAGTATTGTGCAGTTACATGTTATCAAAAAGTCTTACAACTTACTTACTCCCCTTTCTATATGTATAATAATTAACATGTCTTGCAAATAATGCATTTAATTTAAAACATATGTTCAAGTGATATACTGGAATAAAACACGTCAATCAAATATCTATACCTGTTTTATCAATAAATTTATGGACATCAGCAACAATATTATCATAAGTTAATACGGGAAAATCTTTATAATCCCATAATAACAGATTTCTGTCAATTGTAACCTTTCAGCACAGGCACTTGTTTAGAACTGTAATAATTAGAAATTTATTACAGAAACAAATGCATTAATACCTTTCATGCATAAACAGATGGTTGAAATGAAATTTGTTCTAGCATTTACATAATTTTACACACACCAAAAATTTTACAAAATGAATTAATTGAAACATATTTCTATATTATATTTCAAGTTAATTATCTTTTTGGAAAAAAAGATAGAATGTTTTAACAGGGACAAATACACTCATATTATAGTTCCCTGGTTTTAATATTCTTCAAGTAGCATAGTTGGTAATCCTTTTAGGGAAAAGGTCAAAGGAATTTCAACATCGGATATTTCAAAAATCGAGATTATCATTTTAAATAAGCCTTTTATTTTATTCAATTTGTTTTTTAAACACTTTTACTTTTATTTTAAAATATTTTCTAATTCTATTTGTGTTATTTTTTTAAAAAAAATTATTAAATGGTGAGGAAACTTATGCATAATATAAACAGTGGAGAACATTTTTACAATATTGCTTTTGCTTATCGACGCAATTCAAAAAAATATTCGGGTCGGGCTCGAAATTACTGTTTTGACAGAAAGAGCAAAATGGCGGTTGTAGAACAAAAAAGACTAAACATGTTTTTATAATTATTTTTTCGCGTTTGGATCCAAAATTAAAGGAACATAAATGTTAAAGGTAGGTTGTTTACGTGAAACTATAGTTTATTCAAAATGAAACACAGAATAATAATTTCTCTTGGATTGTCTTTGTTGAACTATGACTCACGGAAGAGCCAGTTGAACGATGTCTAATTATCTCTAGTATCTTTTGCTTTTCCTGATTATCACATGATTAGTCACTCACGTTAAATATGTCATGTACCAATATGTACCACTAGGAATTCATTACATTTCGAATAAATGGATTCTTATGATACGTTGATTCAAAACATCCGGACATGCTGAACAAAAAAAAATATATTTTCATTGTTTATACAGGTATGTACTGTGGTACACCTGTGTACATAATGTATGTATTTCACTATTTTTTCTTCTTTAAAATAATGCATTTATTAAAAAAGATCTGATGGTAGCATATATAAAATGTAAATAGCAGAATGCAACAGTTTAATTAGCACACAGATATCTTTTTTTTTTTTGGTCTTGAATAATATTCTTTTTCTTGAAAGGCAAACATAAGTTCACATGGCTATATAAAAGGAGTTTTAACTGTAATGCAATATAATTATAATTCTGAGTTTCTGGGCTTAAAAAATCCATCAAAAGAGAGAGAGAGAGAAAAAATAGCAGTGGTGAATAATGATTAATTCATTAATAAATGAATTTATGAATATGTTAATATGTTTGATGATGAAACTATGGAAGGGCAAACATGGTTTATTTTTAAGCAATTCTGCACACTTTCTCAAATGCATGTTGTTTTACATTCTGCTTATAACAGTATTGAGTAAACTCCTTTAGCCTGCGTTTACTGGGTATCATTCATCAAAGAGAAAAAAAGTTATAGTTGAAACTTTCCAGGCTCCCATGCATTTAAATTGAGGTGCCATATTTCTCAGATTTTCCCATCAAAATCTGAGCTGTACAAGTGACAAAAATATGACGTCATTTACAAAATCTTGTTGACTGAGGACCCAAATGATAGTTTTGTATAGCATGAATGAGATTGCATTAAATCATTGTTTGTAATTTTTAGCTCACCTGAGCCGAAGGTTGTTTATAACAGTACACATTATTTTTTACTATAGAAGTTGTAATGCTTCGTGATCATTCATGAGAAACAGACAAGGATGAGAGAGTGATGGGTACTCACGGTGGAAGTGCCGACTACATTTTCGACAGCTTCCTCAAGGCTGGAACCTGTAAGTCCATTCTCAGCTCGTTCCATCAGCTCTGTGAGGTCCTAGAACTAAAACACACCAACCATCGACTGTTCTACCGTCGCCTGAGTAGCCAGCTGACGTCATGGAAGGCCCAGACCGTGTGGGTGAAGTTGAACAAGAGAATGGCGCAGAAAGAGTACAAGAAAGGAGAGGCCTGTGCCAACACCAGGGTAAGTTAGATAAAGGGTCACAACTGACCCACTACAAGAAAAGGGAGGCCTGTACTAACTCTAAGTAAGTTGAACAAGGGTTATGGCCATCTCATTACAGGAAAGGGGGGGGGGGGTCATTTTGTAAACACAAGAGTAACTCAGACTGTGTTCAAAACTGATGCACTGCAAGAAAGGGGTGGGTGGGAATTTTTTATTTAAAGAATTAAATACAATGCTTTTGTTGTAAACTTGAATAGGATTTGATGAAGGATTGTTTATCAAGAAATTTATTTGTAAATCCAAATTTGTACATTACAGGTCCTGGTGATTGGGTCCGGTCCTTGCGGCCTGAGGACCGCTATAGAGGCCGCTTTCCTTGGTTGTAAGGTGGTTCTGGTGGAGAAGAGAGACAGTTTCTCACGGAACAATGTCCTACATCTCTGGCCCTACCTCATCACGGACCTAAAAAACCTGGGGGCCAAAAAGTTTTTTGGAAAATTTTGTGCTGGTGCTATTGACCATATAAGTGAGTTGAAGAATTTATGGCACATTCTGTGCACTTTTGTAGGTGTTGAAAATATATCAAGACTGGGGGGGAAAAAAACATAACTGTGAAATGTGCAGCATAATTTTGCACTTGACATGTTTTTTAATATTACTTAATTAGATTTCTTGTGATCTAGATGTAAAATGTACATAGATAGCTAGACATGAAGAACTTTCCGTTTTCATTTCCTTTATCTCTCCTTATAACCTAAGTTATACATCATGTACATGTTGTTTTACTCAAGAAAATAAGGAAGATCATATACCATGTATATACTATTTATACATTTGTATCATAAGGAAAATTAGAGTTTTCTGTTTTTTTCATATTCGTCATACGTACCTTATTAAAAACTAGCTGCACAAAATTTTGTGCATTTTCTATGTTAAGCAAATTATTTAAAAATTTGAGGAAAACACATGTAATTCATCCAAGAAAAATATTTTAATTGATATCAGCATTCCACAGGAGATGTTTCTAAAAAAGTAATTTTAGAATGCAGTTGTTCAAGTTGTACTCTTTGCAAATATTTATTTAAAGTTATTTGAATGGTAAATGAAAGTAGACAATATTCTTTTGTGTGCTATTGTAAATTCTTGCCAGTAGAGATTCAATATCATCATGCAGAGACCTCTGGTTATTTCAGGCATTCGACAGTTACAGTGTATACTGATGAAGGTGGCGCTACTGGTCGGAGTGGAAATTCACGTCAACGTTAGTTTCGATGGATTGATTGAACCCTCGGATGAGAAGCCTGGTGGTAAATTAACATAAATGCCTATAACAATTATGTACTCGGTGTGAAATCACTCACTTTCATGGGGGTTTCATTATCGTTGTTTTTGAGGAATTGAGAGACCCACAAATTTATGACCACCTTGAAATGTAAAATTTCATTTGCTTGACCCCTTGAAAATATGTGATTTTACAGTATCTGTAATCATGGTAAAAATTATGCACAAAACATGCTGTTACTTTAGATTTCAGCCATATGTAATACATAATATATAAAACTTTTTAATAGATCATAAAGTTTTCATTTTGATTTGTATTAAAATGAGCAATTACTATCATTCCAATAACAGCGTGTCACTTTGCTTGATCGACCGTGGTAAAAATTTCACAAATTGATTACCATATCATTCATCGATTGGATGTTTGGTTTGAATGAAATCAATACTACTTTGCATATAAAAAACAGAATCCAACAATACACCGATAACACTGACCAATCGTATTTAATGATTGCTCGGCATTTGTAGTCACCGGCAACACGTGGTCAGTCAAAGCCCGTTTACTGTCCGGGAAAAAGCACGTGCCATATTCCTTGTGATTTTTCCGAATAGAGTTAATTTTGATACGAATGAGAATACATGTATTTAAAACATGAAATAAGTAAGGCTATACTTTGGAACTATTATAATATTTATATTATATTGTATATAGCGATCAATTCCATCATTACAAGGTTGAAAACTCGCTTTGCCTGTCCACATGTGATTATTGTTTACTGCATTCTCGTGAACAATCATTTCAATACGATTGGTCAGTATTGTAAGTGGTATTGCTGGGTTCAGTATTTCATATGCAAAGAAGTGTAGCTTTCATTGAAATCAAACATCCAATCGATGAGTAATATGGTAATCAACATGTGGAACTTAATCACGCTCGGTTAAGCGAAGTGACACGCTGTTATTGGAATGATAGTATATATTTCTCTACAATTTAAAATTATATCTTACATTTCTTTCATTGAAATTGTATGATATCTTTTGAAAAACCAAATCTTTCTCAAAAGTTCTGCTAATATTAATATTATTTATTTTTTTATTGTCAATGGTTGTTTAAAAAATAACATTGATATAAATGTACTTGTAATAAATTAAAAATAATAACAAACCAAGAGAAATAAGTCTGAATTTTGATAAATTGTCCAGCTCCTAGAGATATTTTATCAAATAACATATTGACTACAAAGCATTCAGAATATACCCTGATAATATAAATTTGATGTACTTTGCAGTAGGCTGGCGGTGTGCCTGTACTCCGAGTGACCATGTAGTGTCAGAGTATGAATTTGATGTGTTGATTGGTGCTGATGGAAAACGAAACACCCTACAGGGCAAGTACCTGGAAGTTTCAGATCATATTTTCACTACATTTACTTTTGCTTCTGTATTAAGTTAGAGAAAGACTGTATTAGAATCCTCAGAATAAACATAAACCAGAGTAAAATGTTCAATTCCAATTTTTCATAGTCATTCTAGTAGTGCTAATCACCCATGATCTGGAGGTGGCAAAATTAAGACTAGATTTAATCATAAATTTATTGTAAGAATTATTTTTTTAAGCTTAATTCATGTATTGAAATTAAAATTTCATAGATATACATGTACTACTAAGAGCAGAACAATTAAAAAAAGTTACTGAAATGACCTGAAAAATTTTGGAACCGTGATAGCCTTTAAGTAAGATGATAATTACTTAATTTTAATGTGCTGTAATCTCATGTTTGTACACAATCATAAATCTTGGAATGTTTATAGGTTTTAGAAGGAAGGAGTTCCGTGGGAAATTAGCCATAGCAATAACGGCCAACTTTATCAACCGCAACACGACAGAGGAGGCCAAAGTGGAGGAAATTAGCGGCGTGGCTTTCATCTTCAACCAGAAGTTCTTCAAGGACCTGAACGAGAAAACAGGGATCAATCTGGAGAATATTGTGTATTACAAAGACGACACGCACTACTTTGTGATGACGGCTAAAAAGAACAGTTTACTGGACAAAGGTGTGTTACGCGAGGATAGGACAGATACAGCTCTCTTGTTGTCGCCGGATAATATTGACAGGGACGCATTACTGGATTACGCAAAAGAGGCGGCAAATTTCTCCACAAACTTTGCTTTGCCGAACTTAGAGTACGCGATTAATCATTACGGGCAACCTGATGTAGCCATGTTTGATTTTACCTCCATGTTTGCGGCTATGAATGCATCTAGAGTTGTGGATAGAAATGGCCACAAGCTTTTAATTGGACTCGTTGGGGACAGTTTGTTAGAGGTAATTTTTTTTTATTGTTTCTTTGTAGTTTTGTAACTGTCTTCGCTAGAGAAGTGCTTCTCTATTCATAGATATCAGAAATGAAGTGAGACAAAAATTATACTTTTTTGTGAGTTATAATTAAATTAGATAAATCTGGTAGAGCATTCATCAAGTATTATGCAGTGGAAGGGAAAACAACAAATTTCCAATGAGTATGTTTTCGTTGGAAGTACATGTACAATGTATTACAGGGAATGAAATGAAAATGACCAAAATGATATAATTAAATGTCTTTAAGTGCATGTACTGTATTTTTCAATTTTCTGCTTTTTTCTATCATGAATATTTTAACATTTTACTTAAAGGTATGCATGCATTAAAAAAGCCTCAACTGATTAAATTCATTAAGAATTTGTTTGTAAAGAAACCTACCAAAAAATTTGTCTAGCAAAATTATTTAAATGGAAGTAAATCATGCAAGATAATTTCTGTGTATTTCATACAAAATTTACAAACTTATTAAAAATTCTTTTTTTTTCAGCCATTTTGGCCCACAGGCTCGGGCTGTGCTCGCGGATTTCTGGGCGGATTTGATGCTGCCTGGATGATCCGTAGCTGGGCCTCGGGGAAAATGACACCACTCCAGGTCATAGCCGAGAGAGAGAGCATATACCAGCTTCTGTCACAGACTACGCCTGAAAACCTCAGCAAGAATCACAGTGAATACACAATCGACCCAAACACAAGGTAAGATTGGATATGGAATATCAGTGACAAACCAGGCACAGAAATAAATTTACTTTCCTCTTTTGCAGATTTTTTATTTATTTATTTAGTATTTTAGTTCAAAAATTCTAAAATATTCTCCCCCCCCCCCCCCCCCCCCAGAAAATTTTAAATGTTCTCCTACACAGTGCACAATATTAAAAATAGATACTTTGTTTTTGTTGAATTCAGCTTATCTGTTTTCATTCTGTAAAAGTTAAATACCATTGAATGTTCACCCACAGAAGCCTATTTTTTTTTCAAGTATTGACTTCATTGTGTTCATTCTGCTTATCTTGATCATTAGGTACCCCAACCTCAATACAAAGTTACTCCGTGTTGAACAAGTGAGACATCTGTACGACTGTGGTGATCGATCATATGAAGATGAAATCCTCGATCTTCCAGCCAAACGTCCAAGAAGTGGTAAATGTTTATTTACATTAGAGAATTCCCCTTTGTCCTATTTCAACACTTTTCCCCCAGTGAATTGGTACTTGACCCATTCTCAATGTGTAGCAAAAAAAATGCTGTTTAATATTTTTCATACTCATTTATGATTGGTTCTTTTGTGGTCTGACATTTTCAAAGTTTGTAGATATTAGGTAGCATAAGTGATTAATTTTGTATTCCAGAGGAGCTGATAGACAGCTATACATTATTACACTGGTGCCAGCGAGTCCTAAATAACAAGTTCCGTAACGTGCACATAATTGATCTGACTACGTCTTGGAGAAGTGGACTTGCTCTGTGTGCCTTAATACACACCTTTAAACCGAGTCTGATGTAAGTCTTAATACACAACTTTAAACCTAGTCTTATGTAAGTCTTAATACACACCTTTAAACCTAGTCTTATGTAAGTCTTAATACACACCTTTAAACCTAGTCTTATGTAAGTCTTCAAGAACAAAATATTATTGTTACTGTAACATCTTATTCATGTCTCCTGCATGTTTGTCAATAAAAAGATACAGAACATGAACTTTAATACCGACTTCAAACTAAATTCCCCCTGTTAACTTGCCCCTGTATGATATATGACTGCAGACGGAAAACAGGCATATAGAGTCAGGGAAACAGGCATAGAGTCAGGGAAACAGGCATATAGAGTCAGGGAAACAGGCATATAGAGTCAGGGAAACAGGCATATATAAAGTCAGGGAAACAGACATATAGAGTCAGGGAAACAGGCATATAGAGTCAGGGAAACAGGCATATATAGAGTCAGGGAAACAGGCATATAGAGTCAGGGAAACAGGCATATAGAGTCAGGGAAACAGGCATATAGAGTCAGGGAAACAGGCATATAGAGTCAGGGAAACAGGCATATAGAGTCAGGGAAACAGGCATATAGAGTCAGGAAAACAGGCATATATAGAGTCAGGGAAACAGGCATATAGAGTCAGGGAAACAGGCATATAGAGTCAGGGAAACAGGCATATAGAGTCAGGGAAACAGGCATATAGAGTCAGGGAAACAGGCATATAGAGTCAGGGAAACAGGCATATAGAGTCAGGGAAACAGGCATATAGAGTTAGGGAAACAGGCATATATAGAGTCAGGGAAACAGGCATATAGAGTCAGGGAAACAGGCATATAGAGTCAGGGAAACAGGCATATAGAGTCAGGGAAACAGGCATATATAGAGTCAGAGAAACAGGCATATAGAGTCAGGGAAACAGGCATATAGAGTCAGGGAAACAGGCATATAGAGTCAGGGAAACAGGCATATAGAGTCAGGGAAACAGGCATATAGAGTCAGGGAAACAGGCATATAGAGTCAGGGGTTTGGGATGGTGCTGGGTTGGGATTGGATTGCCTGACCCTTTTTCCAAACATAACTTTTTTCTATTGATATTTTTACTTCGGATCCTACAATAAAGTAGAATGAGCCTTTGGATAATATAGCAGTGTATCTTCTTACAACCATTGACTGTTTACTTATTGCATTTTCAGAGAGTTTAACTCCTTGTCCTCGCTTGACGTGGCTAAGAATAACCAGCTGGCGTTGGACGTGGCCCACACAGAGCTGGGAATCAGTCCAGTCATGACCGGTCAGGAAATGTCCACCTGCGCGTGTCCAGATAAACTGACCATGGTCAGCTACCTCTCCGAGTTCTATCACAAGTTCCACAAAGAAAGGAACCCAAGTGGTGTGTTGTTATTTGTTTTATATTTTGAAACGAGGCTCTCATTTTAGGCAGTCAACTTCTACTTTTTGTATCTTAATCCCCATCTACCTTACTATAACAAAGTAAGTCAATCCTCACACTTGTTCATAAAATCAAAGAAACAGAAAGGGGAGTTCATTATTTGTCATTATTTTCATGAGAAAAGAAAGAAAAGTCCACTGGCAGATAATGATCATGAACTTTCTCTTTGTATCAAATTAAAATTGATAACTTGAATTGTATATTAAACAAGTTTTGTAATATTTCAGTTGAGTCCCCTGTTCGAAGAGAAAGCCATAAATCTCCCCTTCACAGAACTCTTCTACAGAAAATCCGCAGTAGTGCCAAATTTACCAGATCTAAGAGAGTAAGTTATTCATGTATAAGTAAGCAGCCCCCATTCACATTATTGCTAAAACAAACTTATAAAAGACAATTATTTTTTCTGGCTAGTACATTTTTGGCAGGGCTAACAACTTTTACTAGCAGTCAGCCCTGCATGTCTAGCTAATTTTACAGATTGTTTCAAACAATGCTCTAAGGGGCAGCCAGGCAAACACTCTAAAGATATGGCCAGTGGGTCAAATCGTGGCATATGGGTAAAGAGTAAAGGTTAGAAAATTATGCTGGGATTGTGTAATATGTTGAAATACATATTACTCATAGCATGATTATTGTTTATGCATTTATCATTTGGCTGTCAAATAATGTGACCAATTTAAATTCATTACAGAGCGGGTAAATAATTATTATTAATTAACTATAGTTTCAAGCAGATGAGGAGAAAAGCTTAATAAAAAATTATATATTTGTGCACAATTCATGTACATGTATACTATATTTATTTTAATAGTTGGGTTTATTTTTTCATGTATGCCTTGAAGTTAGCACTGCTGTGAAAACATTTTACAGCTTTGAAGTGAACAAAGTCAATAAATAATATAATGTTCTATAGGTAATTCATGTGCAGGTGTAATATAAGCTATCCAGGTTCAAACAAGTGTGTACGGGGATTTACCCTGGGTTTTTCTTCAATACACTCTGAGGCCGTATGCCGAAGGGTGTATGGAATACAACTCGGGGTAAATTTCTGTACACACTTGATCGGACCTGGATAACGAATTTATTTCCTTTGTACCCAAATAAATTCTTTGTAAACATAACTCCCTGAATCAACTGTGTCTCAACCTATCGATAAGATTTACAACATACTACTAACAATGCATCGTGACTTCCATGTCATTTGCTTTTTATCATCATAGAAAAACTAGGCATTGTGACGTTTTATTTACCCCCGGCTCAAGTCAGATGCACGGATATTTACACCCGACTCTGTAACCAATCAAAGCTCTTGATACAAGCTACATAGGAAATACAGTATTTTATCTACATTCATTTGTTAAATCTCAGCCAGACAGAGAACTAGGAGTATTCAATCACATAATAAAACCATTTATTATATACATAATGTGTATCACTCAGTTCTAGGGTTGGTTTTACAAAATCTCGACATCGTGATTCGACTTTCCAGATCACAGCACCGTGGTTTTCTGAATCCATATCACCACTCTCTGAAACTGATGACGTAGTATGCAGAAACATTATATTATTTTTCTTTCACGTTAAGAGGTCCTTTGTTATTATGCTTTGTTGAATGGATTAGTATGATCTCTAAAGGTTTATTCTAATATATTTAGCCGTTATAAGGGGGTATACAATAAATTTATTATTATAACAGTAACTTGATCCAAAGAGCCAAACACATGTATCACGTCTCGTTGACAGACGCGGATCATCAGATCAAACTTGATGCTTCGCGTCTCGTTAGATCTGATGATCCGTGCCTGTCAACTCGACGTGATACGACCCTTCGGATCAAGTTACTGTTATAATAATATACTGTAGACGTATTTTTTTCACGGGGTCATAATTCTGCGGAATCCCAATTTCTGTTTAATCCGAGGGTAGAAAATTATGCAGCTTTTCTAGACTGTCACTATATGCCTTACATTTATATTACGTACGCTTGGACATATTTCCGCGGATTATTTGTGACCGCGTACATAGCGTAAATTAATACCATGCGTAAAAAAGTACGTCTACAGTATATTTATTTTATAAACAGGATTTTGGATGTATTCATTTTTGAAAATGTTACGTCTTAAAACCATTTCTAGATATACAGATAAGATAAAATCAATATTAAAATTTTGAGAATTTTTTTTTAATCATATTAAGTACAAACCCAAACTATATGCACTCTTGATTTTCATGAATATTGATCTTTTATAATATCTGTATACATTTGATTTAAGAATTAACTGTCTTATTTTCGATTTCATGATGTCAATCAAAGCAAAGCCATAGGAGTTTATGCATAAAATTATCACGCAAGCCAATCAATATATCATTGTCTTGAAATTGAAAATTAAGACAGTTTTTCCTTATATTTATATGCTTTTGATTCCGCCAATCCACGTGCTAGAAGTCCTGCTTCTGTCTCTGTTTGTCCCGCCCTGCTCGTGATTTTTTTTGACTGCGCCTATCGATGAACTAGTACATTGATAAGGAAAAAAAGTACATTCACTATTTGTAATTTTATCTTGAACAAAGACATTGTAAATGTAAATATAGTATCTTAAACTGTGTTTCTCTTATAATCAACAGAAATTCAAAACATTGTATAAGGTGCATGTCCTACTTATAAATTGATTAGTCCTAAGTCAAACTACTTTTAACTCTTAGTTCATAACTAAATCTTATTTACAGTCATTTCTTGACATAATGCAGTGTTTACATGTATTTGATTTTCTTCACTTTACCAGTGGTATTCTCCGCCACAAAGAGGTTATCACTGTTGTCTACACATAAACCCCATGGATACTGTAGATCACAATTATCAATGTAACGGAGGAACTGTCCGTCCTGATCTAGGATGTGGATACAGTGGTTGTCCCAGTCTGCTGTCAGGATTTGACTCTGGCTGTCTGTTGTGATGCCGTATGGATCATATGATCCTGTGGTAGTAGAGGGATGACCAGTGTATCTAAATCGGAGTTTTCCTGCCTGATTGACCACCACTACTGCACGGGCGCTATTGTCAGCCACGCAGATATCCAGGTTCCTGTTCTCACAGATGTATTTAAGGTCACCAGATGAATACAGAGGTTTGCCTTCACTATCAAACTGAATGGATTTTTTCTCTGTGGAGCCAGAGTAACGGACAACTTTTGATTGTTTATTATCATCACTGACCATGGTAACCAGGAGGTCACCAGAGGAGGTACTACAGAAATTGTAAGGTGTCCATCCCTGAAGTCTGATTACTTCCTGTATCTGTTTATTCTTCACTATATTTACAGTTCTTGTATGAGGGTCAGTATAAACTAGATCTCCACTCCTTGTCACTGCTATGTGACTTGGTTTGTTCCTTGACTTGGTTTTGATTGGCTTCAGAAGTTTACCCTTGAGGTTGTAGAGTTTCATAGATTTACTATCTCCACATGTCCAGATTTCTACATCACTGGGACAGCTAACACTGTATAGTAGTTTATACCCAGTGTCTATGGTGGTAATGAATTCTGGATCATCAAGCAGTGGTTTAATTGTGTTACCGCATTCTTCTCTTGTAATGGATAATGATGACAGAGAACCAAACATTTGATGGAGCTTTTCTTTGTTGATCTGATGAGTAGAGAAAGTTGGGAATGAAACGTTGAGGTCTGGAGGTAAATGTCTCAATTCAGCATTTCTGGATTTGTAGGCAGAGGTTAGGGAGACATCATTGGCGTCCAGCATTTTCTTCAGATCAAGTATGCATTGATTCACTTCTGCAGTAATGTGTTTGATTTCATTTTCCTCTTTATTTAGGGCTGCCAGATGCTTAGTTTTCATGTCATCAATATCAGATTTCTGTTTGTTGACAATGATGTTAATTTCTCTGTGCCAGTCTTCTCCGTGTTTGGTGACAGCTGTTGTTAATTTAGTGTAGTGTGTTTCTAAGTTGTCTTTTTTGGTTTTCATGCTAGATGCAATTTCTTCATATTTTGGGAAAATTTTAGTCTCAAGTTCTTTTAAGTCTTTCTCCATATCTCTTGTTTTGGAGATAAGTTTTTGTAAAACATCTGATAAATGATGTCCCTTATGGTTACCTGAGGAGATACAGGTAGAACAAACAGGAATGTCACATTCTTCACAGTAAAGTTCACAGTTCTTGGAATGCTTTGGGCATGTAGGATAGGTAGGCATCGATGTTCTTTCTATATATGATATGACTCTATGTTTCTTGATAAAATCAGAGAGATGCTCTCCTACACAGGCCTTGCACAGGTTGACATGACAAAGCTCACAGTGACTTTGAACCGCATTGGTCACACAAAGGTCACACCTTAGGATATCCTGACCACTATACCGGGGATCCATTATATAAGATCAGGCGACAATCTGCAATGAAAGTAGAGAAGTAAAAGTGATGGTTACATACCAATGATTAAATTCTCATGAAATTAACTGGTTTGTTGATACAAATAATTTTGGAAAAGTAAGATTATACAGCTGTTGGTAATGTAAAGAAATGTGATATTTTCATGTTGAATACTGAAATTTTATTGGTTTAGATGCATTTAACAATCTGTAATGTTAACCTCAGCGTTAGCAGTGCACTTAACAACAGGTGACACAACGGAAATATGACACATGCCATAGAATTCTCAAAATGCAAGTTACATGTATGCATTTGAAAGAAGTCAAAGACACTTGACATCAATCAATGCATCCAATTTGGCTAAATATTGAAAACAACAGAAATGATGAAACTTTGATGATGAGGAACTTTTTTTGAATATCAAACAAACAATAAAGGGGTCGTTAATTTTTTTTTAAAACTTACCGAGAAAAACAAAAGCTAGGAATTTGAAAGCTTTCCTAATGTTCGACAAATTTTAGGCTAAAATCTTTTATCAATTAAACTTTCAGTAAAATAATAAAAATGATGCCTGTTTTGGAGGGTAACAGTTAAGATTGACATCCCTCAGAAAACCATTGTCAATCTCCACTGACTTGTTGATTCACAGTGGTTTTCCTCGTGTTTCAATTTTAACTGTTACCCTTCAAAACAGGCATCACTTATAAACTGCTACTTAAAAAGGACCATGGCTTCAATTTTGAATGACCATAAGAAAATTTCATTGTAATAATTGCAAAATTCTATTTTCAGACACGTCAATGACCTAATTCAAAGTCTTTCATTCTTTTTCAGACATTGAAGTTTCAGACAAGCTATATTTATTAATATCTTAATGTTAATTCTTAAGTAGAACAATAATTTACTCATTTGGGTAATTAAAAATACTTAATAAGAACGTAAAAACAGCTTTATGTATCATATCTGACCTGTAAATCTAACATGGCTCCCAGACAACAATATTGCTTCCTAGTTGAGTTATCCGTTATGAACTGTTTTCTTGTCACGTGATTCAAGTACTTGTACTTTTTAAAGTATATATTAAAGTGCTAAGATTATGCACACTGACAGGTCAGATTTCAAATATAAATTGGAGTGTTTCTATTTCATAACGTCTTTTTTTTAATTGAATGTATTGATTTTTTGTGGGGGGGGGGGGGGGGGGGGCAGAAAATTCCTTAAGATAGCAAGGATCATTACAAAACAATTTTTATAATAATCAAATTGTTTTAGAAGGGAAAGGAATAAGTAGAATTTTTTTTACTCATATTTATTAAAGTCATGGCTGTATTGTTTCTTTTTCTTGTAGAATTCTAAACGAGAGGAGGAAAAAAATGAACACAACACGTCATTGAGTCGCAAAAAGTTCAGGGAGGAAATCAAACAGGTGAATAAATCTCTCTTCTTTCTCTTTCTCTTGGACTCTCTTGTCTCTCTCTGACTCATTTCTCTCTCTCTGAGATTTTTTAATAGTAATGATAGTGTATTTTTTATGAGATGTAGAAATTTAATTATGCAATGTCCAGTATAATCTGCAAGCTTTTAATTTGACATTTACTTTGTTTAAAGCAATATGAGCTGCATGTTTGACATCGGAAAAAAATATTTTCAATTTGTAATCAACTACTTCAATGACAGGAAAATAGAACATTTATAAACGTTTGTTGTTCATATTTGCCATGGAAGAACTTTTTATAAGCTTCGATTGAAGCAAAATTGAATTATTGTCGTCCTGTACAATAATGATTTCTTATATAATACTGTATAATTTGGTTGCACAGAAATATTTCTTCTGAAACATTTTTAGCTCACCTCAACGAAGTTGGGGGAGCTTATGTAATTCCCTCAACGTCGGTGTCGGCGTCCCGGGTTAAGGTTAAGTTTTTTGGAGCAGTTTTCTTTTTAAGTACTTCTATGTCCTATATTGATTAGACATGCATGGAAGATGGTTCTAGTGTGTTTCATTGTACCAGTCAAAGTTTCAGATGCTGCAATTTTAGCAAAAGAATGACCAGGTTAATGTTTTTGGTGCAGGTTAACATTTTTGGTGCAGTTTTTGGTGTAGGTTTCATTTCCAAGTAACTATAAGCCGTATGTTAACCAAACTTGCATGGATGATACATCTAAGGATGGATACAACCAGGCTTGCTTCGGATGCTGAATCTGACCAACATTTTCCGGTTGAGTGAACAGGTTAAAGTTTTTTGGTGCAGGTTTCATTTCCAAGTATCTGTAAGTCCTATGTTGACCAAACTTGCATGGATGATACATCTAAGGATGGATACAACCAGGCTTGCTTCGGATGCTGAATCTGACCTACATTTTCTGGTTGAATGAACAGGTTAAAGTTTTTTGTGCAGGTTTCATTTCCAAGTATCTATAAGTCCTATGTTGACCAAACTTGCATAGATGATACATCTAAGGATGGATACTACCAGGCTTGCTTCGGATGCTGAATCTGACCTACATTTTCTGGTTGAGTGAACAGGTTAAAGTTTTTGGTGCAGGTTTCATTTCCAAGTAACTATAAGCCCTATGTTGACCAAACTTGCATGGATGATAAATCTAAGGATGCACACTACCGGGCTTGCTTTGGATGCTGAATCTGACCTACATTTTCTGGTTGAGTGATCAAGTAAAAGTTTTTGGTGCAGGTTTCATTTCCAAGTAACTATGAGTTCTTTAATGACAATCTTGCATGGATGATACATCTTAGGATGCATACTACCAGGCTTGCTTTGGATGCTGAATCTGACCTACATTTTGTGGATGAGTGAAAATGTTAGTTTTTGATGTATGTTTCATTTCCAATTAACTATGAGCCTTATTATGTGCAAACTTGCATGGACGATACATCTTAGGATGCACACTTATGGCCTTGCTTCTGATGCTGAATTCGACATATACATTTTTCAGATAATAGACCAGGTTAAAGTTATGGTTGCAGGTCTATTACCAAAAAACTTTAAGGCTTTTATAACATTGTATAAACCAAACTTGCACAAATGTTGCATCAAGAGATGAAAACTCAAATTTGCTTTAGATGCTGAATTACATTTTCATGAAGAAGAACTACTTTAAATTTTTTATGTTGGTCTACTTCAAAGTATCAGATCAAAATTGCTTAGATATTTTCATTTTTGGAATGTACATTTTTTGTTGGTTAATTGTGTGACTTTGCCTTATTTAAAGACAACATTCGTTGAGGTGAGCTCTGTAATCTCTGATTACCTATGTTTAAACTTTATTTTGGTCTTTTTGATCATAAAGGTTTACATTACATACAGATTAATCATAATAACACATTTTACCAGCAAAATAAAATTCTCAAAAATGCAGCTCATATTGCTTTAAAGTGTTTGTAACAAACGTAAAACTTGAACTTTTCAGCACAATGGTGATGTTCAGCTCACCCGATACAGTAAATTACCAATGGAGGAGATTGCCAACAAACTTACTGTGGACAAAAAGGACGATATTAATGTCAAACTGTACAATGACCTTCAGTCTAATGTCAAGGTCAGCCAGATGGCAGAGATCCTGGTGTCAAAGTTCAAACAAGGCTTGGAGCCACCAGTTAAACAAAAAGTGGTAAAAAATTTTTGTTCAGAATTAATTTAGAAATTTTGTGTATAAAATGAAGATTTGTGCATGATTTTATTCGATTAGAGGGTTGGATTTCTTTGAGATACATTACAGGAAAAAAAAATCCTTGTTCTCTCCTTGCTAAAATATTGCGTATGTTTCAAGATAGTAACTAATATGTATTCTATTTACATAAATATACTCACTTTATCCCTTAGAAAACAACAGGTGTTCTTTTGGCTGCCCAGCCAGAGAGTGAGATCTGCTATTTCTGTAAGAAACGTGTGTACATCATGGAGAGAATGTGTGCTGAGGGCATCTTCTTCCACCGGGGCTGTCTCAAGTGTGATTTCTGTGAATGTGGACTGAGGGTTAACAACTACAGCTGTGACAGGCTGGCAGGGGGTGAAGGTAAGTCTTCATAGGACCTATCTGTCTTATGTTCACCAACATCTCTCTTAGAAGATCATTGTAAGTTCTTACAGAACCAATCTGACTCAAGGTCCACAACATCTGTCTTAGATGCCCATTGTAAATTAAATCAAAGGTCCACAACATCTCTCTTAAAGGATCATTGTAAGTTCTTATAAAGGTCCACAACATCTCTCTTAGAAGATCATTGTAAGTTCATATTAAGGTCCACAACATCTCTCTTAGAAGATCATTGTAAGTTCTTACAAAGGTCCACAACATCTCTCTTAGAGGATCACTGTAAGTTCATATTAAGGTCCACAACATCTCTCTTAGAAGATCATTGTAAGTTCATATTAAGGTCCACAACATCTCTCTTAGAAGATCATTGTAAGTTCATATTAAGGTCCACAACATCTCTCTTAGAAGATCATTGTAAGTTCATATTAAGGTCCACAACATCTCTCTTAGAAGATCATTGTAAGTTCATATTAAGGTCCACAACATCTCTCTTAGAAGATCATTGTAAGTTCATATTAAGGTCCACAACATCTCTCTTAGAGTATCATTGTAAGTTCTTATAAAGGTCCACAACATCTCTCTTAGAGGATCACTGTAAGTTCTTTCAAAGGTCCACAGTTCTTTGATAGTTTTGTTATTTCCTTGTGTATTCTACATTTTTAATTTCACACAGTGAAGTTCTACTGTTTCCGCCATTCTAAGCCTGAGATGAGATTAGGTCGGGCCAAGAGAAAGCGAGCGTTTGAGGAGGACACATCAAAAGTAATAAATTTATACCGAGGATGTATACATTTCAACGTATTTATACAATTAATTAAATTCTTTTTAGTAAATAATTATGCACTTTAAGAAGGAAGCAAATTTTTTTTAAAATATCAATATTATTTGCTGAAAATTTTTATTTGATATTTCTTTTAAGGAGAACATACCAAAAATTGTGGAGGATATTGTTAAGACACCCAAAAAGGAAACAATTGGTGACTCCCCTAAAAAAATACCAGGTATGGTGTTTGGTAGTGTTATCACCCTTTGTGTGAAGAAGATTAATCTAGCTTTTTGTTAGGAAGAATTATCTTCCTTATAATATTTTGAATAATCATATGGAGAGTAGTTGTGCAAGGAAGGAAATTGTATTTTTTAACTGTTATAATTTCAAACTCTTTTGAGATTTTCAATAAATACATGAAACAATTGTAAAATCATATCCTCTTAAATACTTAAAGGAGCATGTATGGTAACTCAAGTACACTCTTAATTTTATAATACTATTCATTGCAAATCAAGTACACCCATATTTAGGAAATTTATAAAGTTAGAATATATTCAACATATGTACAGTGTACACATGCATTGAAATACTTAATAGATATTTATTGTTTACTACTAACTTAATTTACAGTATTTAATATCTAACATATTGTTTTTAACTGTATTTCACATCAACTGTGATGTACACATGTAAATTACCTCATTTTTCGACATATTTAAGATAATCCCATACATTTATTTACCTCACTTTTCTACTTATTAAGGGTTAAGATTAACTCAACATTTATCAATCTTACATTGTTCAATGAGTTATCAAGCTAGCAGTTGCCTTGTCTTTGATAAAAACTGGTTTATGAATTGACCAAAAGTTTTCAATTACAAACACCTACTAAAAAAATAATTTATTTCCATCCCTCTCCCCTGAAAAACATGAGTGAAATATATTTCATGTAGGGAAATTCTTAATAACAAAAGAAAACAAGACAAAAACTAAAAATGAGTAAATCCATTCAAATAGTTTGATTTTCTTTTATTGGGGGGATTATAAATTTAAAAAGCATTGTTATAAAAGTTGTGATCATTAAATAAAAAAATTAATAGTATTGCCAGCATTTAAAATTTTGCAAGATCAACTAAAAATGCTATTTTTTCTGACTACACATTTTCAGTCATTAAAAAAGGAAGGAAAGAAACAAAAAGTAAGTAATATGTTCACCTGCAATGTCTCCGTGCTCACATGGAATGCTTTATGTCTCAACCTTTGTAAGACTCAGTCTGATTGGTTAATTTTTTTCTTTATGACTCAACCTTTGTAAGGATCAGGCTGATTGGTTAATTTTTTTATTACTCAACCCGTGTTAGGGTCAGTCTAATTTTTTTCTTCAAGTAACAATTTTGTTAGGCTCTTTCTGATATATTTGTAGTATAGAGTATCAGTAAAATTATTAATTGGAAGGTCATTGATTTTTAAAAAAATAATTGCTGTGAGACTTGCATAATGTCATTAATGCCCAAAATATAATACAAAACCTTCATCACTAAGCAGAAGCGAATTTACATGGTAAAGGATTGTAGTGCTTTTAACTTGAAATATTTCTTCACAAATATGACATAACTGTAAACTATATTTTTACTATCACTGCAACACTAACATTTAAACACTTTACCAGTGCTTCGTTGAGGAAAACTGGTTTTTGGATTGACCAAAAGTTTTCAATTTTCACAGTATTAGAATAAAAATGTAAATTATAATTAAATATAAAAAAAATAAATATCATTAAAATATTTATCCCCCTTTCTTCATCATTATTGATAAAAAATTTAATTCAATAGTAAAGCAGGCATGTAAAAATTTGCAAAAACAACTTGAGCTTCCCATTTTCAGATATATCAGATACAATAAGTTCACTTATATGCATCTACATAAAGATGTTACATAGTATAAACTTGAGGGGGGGGGGGATTAAGGGGTTGGGATGGGTTGTGATAATGAGTGTTGGATATTGTCATACCAGGGATTTTCCACCACCTTTTGGGAATTGGAAGGCCCTTACCATTTTTTTTTAAATCCATTTTACAACTTTTTGGGAAATTGTATAGCGAGATGATTTTCAAGAAATAAACACTTATGATGAATAAAATTGATTTTTACATCATTATTTAGAACTACACAAATGTGACATAATTATGAAGTTTAAGCCATTTCTTATTTTGTTCATTTCATTCTAACCTTTAAACACTTTCAATGTGTGTTTTACTGCCATTTTTCAAAAATTGAACACATGCAAAATAAACACACTTTATATGCATCTACATAAAGGTTACATGATTTTGCAATTGGGAATGGGACCCATATTCGGCCCTACACGGGGCTGTGGAAAATCCCTGCATACACATCTTTCAAAATGTACTTTGTTGCATGGTTGCATGAGTGATCAAGAATTTTTTTTATTGCTTTGTGAATAAAATAAGAGTTAATTATTTTGTTGTTGTTGTTCAGATGAGTCCAGTGATGAATCGATTGATTAAGATGGTGAATGAGTTTTTGGTGTATGGGTTTTTAAGGTGTTTAGGTTCACTTGATAAATGATAGGAGTAGAAGAAAGTAGGTCACCTGAAGTAAATGTTTTTAGGTTAGGAAGAGGAATTTTTTGTAGTAAAAAACTGTGTTGTCTGTACATTGTATTAGCTGTGATTACAGATATCTATTTATTATCTTTATTAAATTGACTTAATTAGACTAAGCAGATAAAACAAGCAGGACTTAGATTGTTTTTTTTAATTTGTATATTTCTTGTGAATATAGATCATTCATTATATTCACTTTCATCATAAAATTCAAAAAGGAAGATAAACTTAGGAAAAAATATAAATGTTAAAGGGTGGTATCAATCTGTTGACTGCTTAAACAGGGAAAAAAGAATATAATAGAGAGGTAACACACAAATCTACCCATACACATGCATTTTCACATAGACTTTTAGCTTTAATACTTTTCATTGATCTCAGTATATTTCATAGAATTATATTTTTTGGCACTTTCCTCTTTTCTGTTGGGTAATTGCAATTTATTATAAGTATGTATAAAATTTAATGTTTCACTATCTTTCACTCAGTCACAGAATGTTAAAAATTTTCCCCCTTTTGCAGCCCCTCTCACCCCTCCTTTCGCCCCTGACACAGATTACATCAAAGCTAAGAAAACTCCGGAGAGAATCGAGTTTGAGAACAGCATCGATGGACTTCCTGAGGAATCGGAGGAAGAATTAACGGAACACAATCTACGAGCCTCGATGTCACGTGACGCCATGTTGGAAGAATTCAGTGACGAGGACCTCTCCGACTCTGACCTTGAGTAAGTATATTTATATCTGACCTTGACCTTGTATCCCTCATTGTGTCAAGAGAAGATTTTCTCTGATACTTTATTTATTTATTTCTGATTATTGTCATTTAATTTTTATTTTCTACTTTGCTTAATGATATGTTAGCTTTTACATGTAAAGCAAATTCTTTAGGATTATTTAATAGCTAGATTCCCTAAGATAAAGCCATATGATATTGAATATGATTTACCCATTGGAACTATTGTTTTGCTTCATCTGTTTTTATATTAAATACAATTTGGTTGAAAGTTTAGAAGATTTTAAATACTTTGAGTTTTGAAATGTTATGATAAAACATTTTGTTGCCATGACAACAGTGATCTGGAGTTAGCAGCTATCCTACAGGGGTGGTACGATTGTTTGAATTGCCTGACACAGTCTTAGAAATCCCTTTTATTTTGTTCAGTGTGATATTTTTTAGAAAGTCTCCATTTTAATTTTTATTAAAAAAGGAATGCTCATTATCCATGAATTTGGAGAGTCGGTGTCCATTTGAATGCCTAGTATTTTTTTTATAAATAGTTTTTTTTAAATGACTGCAACTAATATTCTGATTTAAAAATGCTGATTAGAAATATGAATGTCAAAAAAAAAATTGAAAGAGTAATTTATATACAGGTTGAGGGAACTGATATTGGAATAAAACTACACACAATTAAAATGAGGTTGTCTGATTATAATTCAATGTATATACAATATATTAAACCAGACTTGAAAATTGAATACTTCATATATTCAAAAAATTACTACAGTGTTTATTAATAATATTATAAAGGGCTAAATGATTCTTCAACCTGATACTAGGAAAAAAAAAAGTCTATTTTTTGGAATAGTTTAAAGGGAATGTTGCATGCAGGTCTGTTCCTAGAATATGATGAGATTATTAATGCACTGACAGTTTTATCTCTCTAATTAATTATGCATGATATATGATTCTGTTTGGGTATTTTTTAATTAAAGAATTTACAAAAAACATCAAAAGAAATGAATATCAATACAAAATTCAATAAGACTTTACCCTCCAAAAATACATTGTTTGGTTTGAATCAGGGGCACATAATCCATACTTGTATCTTGGAGAATTTAACCTTGTGGTAATAAATTTATTGTTGCTTAAAGAAACTAGCTTCAGTATAACTAAGCTTACTTTGCATGTTGAGAATGAATTTTCAATTCAAATTTCAATTCAGTCCATTCTTTATATACTGTTAAGTATCCTGGAGTTCCCAAAAATTATAAATTTAAAAAGGGGAAAAAATCTTAATATTTTTTATTTTTCTTCATTGACTAACATGTTAATTTTACACTAAATAAATGCATAAACATTGAATTCAAATAACTTAAAAAAATTAATGATAAAACTGAAGTGTCTTTATATGCTCATAGAATATTTGATCAATGTTTGCAAGAACAACTATTAAAAAAAAACGGATTTGAACTGTATTGAACTTTGGTCTAACAAAATCATTTAAAAAAAACATGATCAGTTCATTGTCTTCTCCAAATCAAAGGCTTGTAAATCAGATGTATCAATTCTCTACCAATGACAATGACTTTGTATTATGTAAATTAGCCCTATCAATTCTCTACCAATGACAATGGCTTGTTTGATATAATCTGCATTTTCTCCCCCACAGCGATGTATTTCTCCTTAGGTATGATATTGACGATAGCTGTCTTGTAGTGTTATTCTGTGTGTATACTCAGGACATCTACATTGTATATCACTGTATGACTTCTCTGTCAGTATATCTCTGGAAGGGAATCTATTATCATCACATAAAATGTACCCACATTCTTAGTGCTAAATATATTTTCATTTCATTTAATTCATACTTGTTTCTTGGATAACATTTTTATAATGTAAATGTGTTCCACTAAATAACATTATGATCATGAATATATCTTCAAATTTATCATGTTTTTAAATTATTACTTTCCATGTAAATTGTACACTAAAATGTAATATTTCTCTAAATTTGTTTTTTTTAATTAAATAATGTTCACTTTCATAAAGATTCTATAGCTGCATCACGTTTTATAAGGTTTATATATATTTCCTTGTTGATTAAAAATTAATTTGCAGATAAAAATATACTTCATTCATTTAATATTCAGCCATGAAATATAAATTGAAAAAAGTGTTTACAACAAATATTATTTCCATATTCAAATATACAAATTATGTGTAAATTCAGCATATTATTAAATTAATCATATGTTAATCATGGAATAGATATTTACATGTATAAGATGTTAAATATTATAATAGTAAGTAATTACATATAACTGTTCAGAGTATATTGCTTTTTAACCAAACAATTTAGTATTAAAATTATTGACTGCAATTCGATAAAATTGACTATCATTTAATTCGTAATAACTGCATAGACATAGACAATAAATTATTCAAGAAAACATAAATTATAAAGACTATACATGAATATAATACAATACAATACAAAAAATACAAAAATAGCTTGCCAGCACGTGTGGATATTGGAATGACTAATTTATCATATCCAGTATGTGTATTGTTAAGAATAATTGCTAATAATTGCTAATAAGTTTTTGCTAGCTACATGTATAGTTTGAATTCATAAGATAAGCAAACCTGTAAATGTTTATCTTCAAGCAGTTATAATTCTGTTTTTGCTTTCTGTAATAAAGTTAAAAATGGTCTGCTTTTAAATTTCCTTTATTGCAGAATATCTTAATTTTCTAATTCTTAAGTTTTAAATTACAACTCTATTATGGGGTCAATAAAATGTCAGTTTAAACAAAAGTATTAATTATGTTGTCATGGTAACACAGGTCGAGTGATGATGATGAGTTACAGGAGGCAGTGGAATCGACGTACGGACATAACGTCAGCAAGGACCTGACACTGGAGGAAGCCCTGGCTGTTGTGGAAACACTCAAACGGAAATCTTATGAGAATTTAATGGAGGCCGTGGAACAAAAGATATAAAGGGAGAGGGAAATGTAGATTACAAAGCAGGGATAGGCAGGAAGATAAAAATATAGGTCTAAAGGGGAGAAGACAAAGGATAGTCAGAGGATGATAAAGGTAAAGGAGGGAGACGATAAACTAGGAGAGATGGGAATGTTGAAGATAAAAATATAGGTCTGAAGGGGCAGGGAGTCAGATAAAGATACACGTAGGATTTTTTGAACATACAGATTCATAGGGAAAAATGTAAGACAAAGAGGACTCTTGGTGGTCCTGGTAGATAAAGGGCTGTTTAGGGAATGAGTAAGACAAACAAACAGGTCTGTGGAGAAGGGAGTCAGATAAAGATACTAAAGATATAGTTCTGTAGGATTATTAGTCAGAACAAGATACGGGATTGAAAGGGAATTAGTCAAGGATGAGTCTGAAAGGAGGCACAGTTCTGTTGGAGATAAAAACTACATAAAGACTTGAGTCTTAAGGAAGAAAAGGTCTGTTGAGGATTGATTCTGAAAAAAGATACAGATCTGATAGGATCAATTCTGAAAGAAGATACAGATCTGATAGGATTGAGTCTGAAAGAAGAAACAGATCTGATAGGATTGAGTCTGAAAGAAGATGCTTCTCTGGTGGGGAATAAGTCTGAAAGAAGCCACGGTTCTGTTGAGGATGGATTCTGAAAGAAGATAAGGTCTGTTAGGGATTGATTCTGAAATAAGGCACAGTTCTATTGAGGATTGACATTGAAAGAAGATACAGGTCCGTTGAGGATTGAGTCTGAAAGTAGATACAGATCTGATAGGATTGAGTGTGAAAGAAAATGCTTCTCTGGTGGGAAAAAAGTTGAGAGGAAGATGTCATCTGTTGGGAAATAATTCTGAAAGAAGATGCATATCTGATGTGGAATAAGTCTGAAAGAAGACACAATTCTGTTTAAGATTGTGTCCAAAAGAAGATGAGGTCTGTTGAGGAGTGAGTCTAAAAGTAGACACAAATCTTGTGGGAAATAAGTCTGAAAGAAGATATAGTTCTGTTATGGATGAATTGTGAAAGAGGAAACAGATTTGTTGAGGATGGATTCTGAAAGAAGATACTTATATAAATATCTGATATGGATTGAGTCTGAAATAAGATATAGCTGTTAGGGATTGAGTCTGAAATAAGATAAGGTCTGTAAGTTAGGGATTGAGTCTGAAATAAGATAAGGTCTGTAAGTTGAGGATTGAGTCTGAAATAAGATACATTTCTGCCAGGAATATATTCTGAAAGAAGATAAGTTCCTTTGGGGAATAAGTCTGAAGGAAGATGCTTATCTGGTGGGAATAAGTCTGACAACAGATGCCTATCTAATGTGGAATAAGTCTGAAAGAAGATGCTTATCTGGTGGGAATAAGTCTGACAACAGATGCCTATCTAATGTGGAATAAGTCTCAAAGAAGATGCTTATCTGGTGGGAATAAGTCTGACAACAGATGCCTATCTAATGTGGAATAAGTCTGAAAGAAGATGCTTATCTGGTGGGGAATAAGTCTGAAAGAAGATGCAGGTCTGGAATCGAAGGAGGGATGAAAAAAGTGGATGATAACAGTACATTGCATTGGGAAGTAAAGATAAGATATGAGTGAAGAACAGGAATTGCTTGGGAAACAAATTTAAAATGCTTTAAGCAGGGGAAGGGAAAATGCAGGAAGATATGGATATTTCGGGGAAAAGTTTCTAGTTTTATATAAAAGTTAATGTTTTAAATTTAAATATATTTAAATTTACATGTTGCCTTGGGGAATAGTGGAAGGAGGTAAATTTCTTCACTGTCTTTAAATATTTGGAAAATTCATTTGTGAAGAAAAACAAAATATTTATTTGGAATAATTTCTTTGAAGCAAACACAGACTTATTGAAAGTAATTCAGGCATTGTTGAAAATACATTGAAAATCTTTTCACCACATTTGAATGTATTGTATGTGTTAAGTTTTGTTTTATTTTTTCTAGACACAGAGTATGAAGCCTCTGAGGCCGACTCTGATTTGGAAGAAATGGAATATGAAGATTCCTCCCCAGACAAACCCAGTAAAGATATTTGTCAGGAAGAAAACCTAGTGCAGAACAGTAGTCCTCAGCGGAAAGCAAGGGCAAACTTCTTTACATCTCCTCCTGAACCACTGAGACTTGACCCGTGGAAGATGTTTGAGAAGACACCAGAGAGGGAGGT